ATGATAATGAATGACGTGAAATTGATGAAAAACAGAATGACTACTCCATGATTCAAGGTAAGTCACCTAACCCTTTCTAGGCCTCAGTTTCCCTGAAAATGAGAGTTTGGACTAGATGACCCCTAAGGTCCCTCCCAACTCTGTCTATGGTCCTATATTGAAGGATGAGAGATAAAGAGAATGAGCTATTGCCCACACCTATAACTGACCCTTCCTTACCTCTGTCTCTTAGAATTCTGAGTTTCCTCAGGGTGCAATAGCAAGGCTTTTCCCAATCCCTTCTGCTACCCAAGTGACCTTGTATATATTTTGCATATTCCTATACAGGGTGTCTCCCCCAATTAGAGTATAAGTTCCTTGCGGGCAGGAGCTGCTGCTGTTTTTTCATCTTCACATCCCAGTGGCTAGAATATAGTAAGCACCTAATGAATGGTGGCTGACGATTATGTATAGCAATGTGAAATAAATGAATCTGTGGCCATATATGTATGTGGGAGAGTATCAGGGAAAAGAGAGGGGGAAAGTATGAGTGTCTTATCCTAAGCCATTGCTTCCTTCCTTGAAAAGTCACTCAACCTCTCCCAGATTCTGCCCTCACCTGTAAAATAAGGAGAATAATAATAATATGAAGGTAATAATAATAAAATGAGAGTAATGATAGCACCTACCTACCTACCAGGGTGGTTTTGAGAATCCAATTTATATGTACATATCATATTATGTATGCACATGTGTATTCATAATATGGATGTAGCATATATGTGCATATATGCATACATGCATGCATAATATACGTATATTATATATCCAGATATGCAAACCTTAAAATACATCCATAAAACACAATGTTACATAATAATATATAAATGTTAACAATTGTTATTTATATTGAAATGTAAAATTTGCAAACTACTTAGAATCAATCCATCAGTAAACATTTATTAAGCACCTACTGTGTGCGAGGCACTAAGTGCTAAGGATACAAGAAGAGACAAAAGACAGTCTCTGCCCTCAATCTAACTGGGGAGACAACGTGCCAACAAATCTATGCAAAGCAGGCTAGTTACAAGATAAACAGGAAATAATTCAGGAAGGCACAAGACTTAAGAGGAGCTAGAAAAGGTTTCTTGTAGAAAGTAGGATTTTATTTAGGACTTAAAGGAAGCCAGGGAGGGCAGTAGTCGGAGCAGAAGGGAGAGAAGCATGCCAGGCATAGGGGACAGCCAGAGAGAATGCCCTGAGCCTCCAGAGAGACTAGCACAGAGGCCAGTGTCCCTGGATAAAAGAGTACCCGTCTGGGAGTCAGGTACAAGAAGACTGGAAAAGTAGGGGGGGGGCTACGATGTTGAATAGGATATGAACTTTCAAAAAAAAAGTAAATCAGGCACAGTGGCATTCACTGTTTCACACTAAATCCTCTTTTCTGTTCAATGATAAGTTCATACTGGTGGTTATTTGGTAACATCGTAATAATTTTTTAAAGTGGATGAGCTACTAATTATGCAAAAGAGCCCTAACTGCCTATGACAGAGTAAAGCTTTCTGGTGAACACAACAGGGGATGAAGATAGGGACTGAGCCTGCGATTTCACTGGCATGGATGAGGAAATTCCTTCTCCCAGTGGAGGGCACCTTCTCTCATCAATTTATAATCTTACCCAGTTGCCTGGAGCGTGATGTCCAACTCAAATAGCAATAAGGGCAGATAACCCTCTGTGAGGATCTCTGCCAGGTGGCATATTGACTTAGAAAACCACAAATGAGGCTCAGATTCTTATAATCTAGCCAATAGCTCACTAATATTCAAACTTCTTAAGAGTCTGCCCAATATGATGGACGTTCTAATAAACCTTGTCTTTGGCTGAAAGAAGGCTTGGGTCAAATTCTTTTGGACAGGACCCACGTGTTGTGATTTTGGGCTCCCAGCACCCCTAAGTCTCATCACTTTGGTGGCCCGTACAGGGAAACTGCCTAACCCTAAGTTTTTCTCCAGCCAAGACTGGAAGGTATGTAAGCCTCCCCCCTCTCCTTTCTTGCTCTGCAGTTGGGGTCCCTCTCCAAGCACCAAGGCTCGCAGGTGCTTTTCAGGCAGACAGTTACTAGGCTGTCTGGCACTTGGCCTGACACTCTCAGGCTCGTGGTCCACAGGTCAGCTCAAGGCCATGGACCTGGGTACACCTTCCGAAGCATAGAGGACAAGGATGGATGCCCTATCTGGAAGTGTATGCCCAATTCCGTCAATTCTCTCGGTGCTAAGGAATTGGGGAAAACTGAGGTACATTTTGGTTCCCTGAGGCTTACTTACTCCCTTCCTTCTACACCTCTGAATCCTCCTTCATGGAGGTTACATACAGGGAAAAGTTAGAACAGCTAAAAATATCTTGGCAGATTCTGAAGGTTTTGACTGATCACTAAGAAGTTTTGAAATTCCTCCTTACAACCTTGGTCACTCCTTTCTCCCACTCCCTCCCTTGAGTCAAGAGGGTATCTGTTAACCCCTCTCATAGGAGAAGAGAATTTCACCCTTTACCCCTCACCTTTGATTTTACCCTCCCCCACCAGGGAAAAGGAAGTAGGGGGGAGGGGCAACAGCTACAGCCTGGGCCCCACTGGCAATGGCCTTGGGCCCTAGGGCAACCTTTGCCTGGAAGCATCACCCAGGTTCAGCACATCCTGCTCAAGGTAAAGAAGCTAGCCTCTGAACTTGGGATATGACCTGCATTTGCTTCTGAAAAATGAGGAGCAGCAGGACAGAAAGGAGGGTCCTTGATCTGTGAATGCCTTGGTTCTCAGCTGTAGTAGGTAACAGTTACTATTGTATGAACAACTCTCAGGTCACAGTAATAACCAGAAATTCACATCTTGAAGAAAGAAGGGGCTTCAGGGTTCCAGAAATATAGAAAAGGACCGGGATAAGGCAGACTCAGAGATTTCCTCTGTGTGCAAAGTAAGCAGAGAAAAGGGCAGAGCTCTGAGATTGAAGAAAACATCTCAGAAGAAACAAGGAAACACGGCCTCTTACCTAGAGCTGACTGAAGACCTCCAGCAAGAACTCGTCTGCTCCATCTGCAGGGACTACTTCACAAACCCAACGACCATTGAGTGTGGCCACGGTTTTTGCCATAGTTGTCTCAGAAGCTGGCAGGAAGCCTCAACTTCTTTCTCCTGCCCAGAGTGCAGGGGTGTCTCTCAGCTAAGGGATTTCAAAGCCAATGTTCAATTGGGAAACAAGCAGCCATTGCCAAAAAACTAAGACCTCACTGCTTGCAGTAACCCTGAAGAACATGGCAAGTGTGAGGTACATCAGAAAGTGTACAAGCTGTTCTGTGAGGATGACCGCAGCCCAGTCTGTGTGTCCTGTTCTCGATTCCAGAAGCATGAGGTTCACAAGTTCTGTTACATAGATAAGGCTGCTGAGAACTTCAGGGAGAAACTCCAAGAAACTGTGACTAATTCATGGAGGAAAACTGAGAACATTGTTCAACAAACGGCCAATGAGAAGATTAAGTTTGCATTGATGGAGGAAGAAACAGAAATTCAAAAGAAGAATATTTTGTCTGAATTCCAGAAAATGAAACAATTCCTAAGTGAAGAGAAGGATGCATGTCTATCATATGTCCAAACATGGGGGATGGCCATTTTAGAAGACCTGAACAAGAGAATCAGTGGATTATCCCACCAGGATCAAGAGTTAAGGACAAGGACCACAGAATTAGAGGAGGAGTGTAAGAAACCAGATCTGGATTTGCTCCAGGATATGAAAGGAGTCTTACACAAGAATGCATTTGTGCTGCAAGAGAAAACAGAACGTTTCCATACATACATGACTAGCCTTCCCATCTCTGGAGTTATGGAATGGATTTTCAATTTTAAAGTGAACGTCACTCTGGATTGCAACACAGCTGATCCAGGTCTCCTCATATCTGAGGATGTGAAGAGTGTGAACTGTGGAGGTGTCCAGAAGGAAGCACCTGACAATAGCTGGAGATTAATGGATTTTGCACAAGTTCTTGGTATTTAGTCCTCTATTTCAGGGAGATATTACCGGGAGGTGGAGGTGCCAAAAACACTATCTGGTGTGTTGGCATCTATAAAAAATCAAAAGGGTCTCAAGACTTCTTTGTCCTTAGGACTGTACAGGTACACAATTCCTACCATCTTTATGCCACAGCCCAGCATAATCTTTATTCCCAAGTCCATATAAAATACTGCCAGGTCAGCGTGCCCAACTTAAAGGTGGGAATTTTCCTTGACTATGAACATGGAGAGATGTCATTTTATCATGTGAAAAATAGATATCTAATTTATACTTTCCCCATCACTTCATTCTCAGGACCCCTCATGCCCTTCTTCTGTCTTTCTACAAAAGTCTTGACAAATGATTGCTCTCTTACAATCTGCCCCTAATGGAAAGAAATCAAGAAATATACACTTATTGGCCAAATGGACTTCAGGCACTATATTCCCCAATTTCTGAGTACTCTGTTGTCTGAAAATAATTGTACCTACTTGCCCTGCTACAGATAATAACTTTTCCTATTTCATTTTTGTATGTGTTTTCTCTGGACCCAGTAGAATGTAAGCTATGTCATACGGGAATTGTTTCATTATGCTCTTTGTATATACCCAGTACCTAGGATGTTGCTGAGGGTTAATAAATGCTTGTTGAATTGGGGGAAAAAAAAAAAGAAAACCACAAATTAACATCATCTATGTTCTATTATATTTGCATTTATGTTGTTAAATATTTCCCAATTACATCTGAAAATGGTTCCTGCCCACTCAGCTGTGAGTTTGAAACCTCTGGCCAAAGTACAGAATGGCGAAGCATCTTACACATGGCCAGTATGTGTTAACAGCAAGACTTGAACCCAGGTCTTCCTGGCTCCTAATCCGCTTTCTATTATCACACAGCCTCTCAGGGTCGATAATTCTCCAAGATGGTTGCCTAGGACAGAGAGCTTCAGTCCCTCTGGACGCTCGGTCCCGGTTTTTACTCACCCTTCTTGGAGAGCAGCAGCTGCTTCCGATCCCACTGGTCCTCTTTGTCCAGGACGGCTTTGCGGAGCCGAATGCCCATGTGCTCCAACAATTTTTTACGCAGCACCAGTGTTTCTCGCTCTGACGACGACAGCGAGTGTAAAGGAGTGTGCGCTATCCGCCTGTCCTGCAGCACACAACAATGCATTACTCTACAATCATCAGCATCCCGAGATCAAAACCAACCAGAAACATAGCGTCCCTGAGCTGAATCTCCGCCTTCCCAAACCCAGACCTGGAGCGTAAGAGCCGCGCCTTTGCCGAACCACCTGGGCAGTGTTTATTCTCTTACCCCGGGTTTGCTGAAAGAAAAAGGACTGAAAGACGGCAAAGGGAGCCTAAGTGCACCACACCACCGAGTGGGCACCGCTCTTCCTCAAAGTCGGGCTGCCCCGGATTCAAGGCCATACCTGGAAGAACTTGAAGTATGCATAATCCACAGCAGTCCCCACGGCGGATCTTTCTCCTTGGACTAGTTTAATTGGAATCAGGATATCAGCCCCAAACTGAATGAGTCTGTCAATCTGCAAAGGGCAAAGTCTTCATCAAACTAAGCAAGGCCTCTGTGGGCAATAAGGAAGCCACTTTCCCTCTTTCTCTGCTGAGGCGGGGACTACAGGTGTGGAGCACTGCATGTGTCAGTCTTTTCCCATTTGGTGATTACTTTTGTGAACCGTTCCCCTCCATCCCCTATTTTGATTCTTTGTTCTAATGGATGGCTCCTAAAAGAGTATGAATAGGGGGAGGGATACTTTAGGAAATGTAGAGTATGTAAAAGTAAGAGATTATTGATGAAAATTTAACCAATGATGATGATAATGAAGCCACTCGGGACTCTTGAAATCAAATACAGGGTGGGCTGTCCATCGACAGAAAATGGGACCAGGACGAGTAACTTCACAGAGTTCACTTCTCTGGCTAATGTCCAGCCAAAGAATGGACAAGCTACTGGAAGCTGTGACATCTGGACAATTTATGAGTGCTTGTCCCTCGCAGGGGAGCCTAGCTCCAGAGGTGGAGTGGACCCATGGCCATCTTGTGCGGCCTCCTCACTTAATAATGAGAGCGAGCATCGCTTGGACACTGAGGCTTGCAAAGGCTTCACTCTTCACTCATTTCATGTTCTCTCATTTGACGCCTGCAGCAATCCTGCCCGCTGGGTACTGGTATTATCCTCATTCTATTGAAGGGGAACCCGAGGCTAAGGGAGATTAAGACATCCTTGCCCAGAGTCACACAGCTACTCAGTGACAGAGGGAGGATTTGAACTCGGGTCTCCCCAACCCCACTTCTCACATTCTATCCCCACCTGTAACTGGCTGCCTACTAACAGATAAGGAACTGAAGCCAAAGGAGGTTAAGAGCATCTCAAGGTCGCATAGGTAGGATTCGAACCTGGGTCCTCTGACTTCTGGGTCAACCCTTCTCAATTACCACCTACTAAGCACAGAGAAGCTGTGCCCTGCATTGGTTATGCCAAGGAAGTAATGGGTCCTGACAGTCCTGAGGTATCACCGTTATCAAGGTGGTGGTTCTCAGACAACGATCATTATTTCATACCAGCGGTCTCCCTTTTAATTACAGAGAACCTACTGTTCGCTGGAAAGGCTGTTATCTGCATATGCCCAAAGAAACGCTTAGGTACATTGCAGGAAAAATGGAAATATATAATGATTGAAATGCTTTGGGCATTTAAGCCCAGAGACGATGTAGCAGGCAAGCTTCTTTTCAGCCCCTCAGAAACAGTCACAGGCACATCACACAATAATGAGGCTGGGGGCTGGGCATGGCAGAGACACAGCTGGTCTAAGTCACCGAGTCCTGGGCCCAAGACCCACTCTGACGCACCCTGGCTCTATGACCCAGGGCTAGTCACTTAACCTCCAATGTTCCAGGCAACTCTCTAGACGATGTCACTTGCACATCAGGTACTCATTTACACTGGTAGGGGGATTTTCTTCCCTGGGCATTCCCAGCACGATGAAATCACAGGACCAGTCCAAAAGAAAAAGTGCCTAAACTAGAACGTGAGCTCCTTGAGAACACACGACCAGGGTTTATCATGGTGCCTCTAGCACTTAACACAGTGCCCAGCACATAGTAGGTGCTTTGTAAATGCTCACTGGCTTGGCTTATTTGTGCCTTTTTTTCTATGCGCCGAGCTTAATACAGAGTAGGTGCTTGAATTTTTATTGGTATCTCGTTTGCACTTCATACATTTCACAATATATCCCTCACTCCCAACTCCCTTCCAGAAAATAGCGCTGAGACCTTGGGGACACCCTTTATAATGGCAGATGATTCCAACTGGGTTAGTTCTTTCTGAACTGTTTTTCCCCTCTTTTTTATTCTTTGCTCTTTACTTTCTTTGCCTGAAGACTGAAGGTTCCCCCACCCCTGCTATAAGGGATGGTTTTCTGAGAGTGGGGTGAGGAAATAAAAGGAGCTGGTTGTCTTCTGCCATCTCTTCTTCAGATCGAGCCTGGACATTACGATTTCCCAGTGTCCCTTTTTTTTTTTGTCATGTTGGTGGTTGTTTCATGCCGTTTCATGCCTCAGTTCTTTGTGTGTACAAGTTTGCTCTTCTGCCTCCAAGCTCGTACCCTGCTCCCAGTCGCTCAGAGAGTGTCACATTTGATATGATTTTTGATGAAAGTCTTCTTTACATTTTTTTAAGAGCATAAAAATGACAGGAAAGACAAACAAATTCTTCTCCTTTCACAATTTCATCATGGAAAAAATAAGGAGCTGACACAGATCCCAACATGGAACCCAGAACCAACAAAAATGAAGAATCACTTTAATTGTCACAAGAAATCGCTACACAACGAACATGAGTTTTCACCCTCCATAAAACAGGCCCCGGCAAAGGCCCGGCCACACACTGAACTCACCAAAGCGATTTTGCCATCCACGGATCTCTTTTGCTCAAATGCGAGGTTGGCCACAGCGCAGAGAGCGCTGCCCACCCCCTCAGTTAAGGCTAGATTTGGGTCTGCTCCCCAGAGGAGAAGTTCATTCACCGCCTGTAAAAGACACGCGTATCGAACATACATTGAGAGAACTCAGTCAAGCTAAACAAACGACTTTAGTGGCTCTAAAAAAACAACAAAAATGTCATTACTGTTGTTCAGCCATTTTTCAGTCACGTCTGACTCTCTGATCCCACTGGGAGTTTTCTTGGCGGAGACAGTGGAGTGGTTTGCCTTCCTTCTCCAGCTCACTTGACAGATGAGGAAACTGAGGTAAACAGAGGGAAGTGACCTGCCCAGGGTCAACGGCTAGTAAGTGTCTGATGCTGGATTTGAACTCCGGACTCCAGGTCCCCGGCTCTACCCACTGCAGCGCCACCTCGCTGCCCCTTTTACCTTCCAGCTAAAACTGCGTATCGCACTGAAGATCTAAAAATGTAATCTGACACATTTTAGACTTGTGTCCAAGAACAGGCTGAACCATCCCCCAGCTGATCAGCATCCACTTTGTTTCCAGGTCTTTGCTGCTACAAAAAGAGCTGTTCTAAAGATGCTGCCGTATAGGGAGCCTTCCTTCTGGCAATGACCACATTGGAGTCAGCAGACAGATGTCTGCTAGGGTCAAAGGATACGGTTATTTCAGTCCCTTTTTAGCCTAATTCCCAGCTGTTTGGTCCCGTTCACAACTCCACCAACAGGGTATTAGTGTGCCCATCTTTCCATAGCCCCACCAGCACTGACCGTTCCCATCTTTTGTCGCTTTTTGTCACAAATGTACCTAAATAAACATTGTATCAACTTCAGACGCATCACATCAAGATACTATTTTAGCGTGGATTCAGTTTAGTTAAGGGAGATCACACTGTCTGCTGGGAAGAGTGCTTGATTTGGAAGCAGGGACTTGGGTTTGAATCCTAGCTACCAGAGCAGCCACTTCATTTCTCTGGGCCTCAGTTTCTTCATCTGTAAAATGATGGGGGATGGGAGGGGATACAGGTGCCCTCTAAGATTCCTCCCAGCTCTAAATCTATGGTATGATGTGGATTTTTGTTCTATTTTAACACTGCATACCACAGTCAACCATCTACTATTTAATAGTAAGCATCCACTAAACTTCCCTATACCGGAACTTGGGCCCATTTTCTCTGACAATCTTCTGTCGTTATTGCTGTTGTGCAGTCATTTCAGTCATATCTCACTCCCCGTGACCCCACTGGGAGTTTTCTTGGCAGAGATACCGGAGTGGTTTGCTGTGTCTTCCTCCAGCCCATTTTACAAGTGAGGAAACTGAAGCAAACAAGGTGAAGTGACTTATCCAGGGTCACACAGCTAGTAAGTGTCTGAAAAGCCAGATTTGAACTCAGGAAGAGGAGTCTTCCTGACTCCAAGCCTAGCATTCTATCCAGCCAGCTAGCTGCCCATTCATTTATTCCCCTCCAACCCCCCAGTCTTCCCATACAGTATGAAGTTTCCCAAAATCTTTACTCCTGAGAACCACTGTTTGTCCGTTTCTCCTACAAGGACTCTTCCAGTATCTGGCATCCCCTAGTCCCCCTCCCTTAGCTTCCTTATCACTCGAAAGGCCAAGAAAACAGAATGAATTACTCATTTGGACTTCATTCTAAGCAATAAAGTACAGATTGGCTAAGGAGAAATGGGCGCAGTATCTCAGAACACATAATAGCCCCAGAAAAGAATGTTGAGCTCATTAAGAAAAGTGCCTTAGACTTTAGGAAAGCTGAGTCCAAAGGCTCAGAGAAAATGAAGTCAGTCAGCAAGCACTAATTAAACATTTCCTGTGTGCCAATCACTGTGCCAAGCACTGGGGCCACAAGGAAAAGCAAAAACAGCACCCGCCCTCGGGAGCATGAATTCTGATGGGTGGATGATAGGTACAAGATACTGGATAGGTGGAGTAAGCAGAAGGTGACAGAGGCGGGGAGGCCCTAACAGTAAGGGAGGATGGAGCTACATCCCGAAGGAAGCCAGGGAACTTCAGAGGCACCTCGGGTAAGAGGGTGACCCAGGCCCGAGAGACAGTCACTGGGAAGGAGCAGCGCTAAGAGGCAGCAGGCTGTGTCTGAGCGAGCCAAGGTCGCTGGAGCATCCAGGCTGTGCAGGGGAGTTAGACATAAGACGATTGGAAAGGTAGGAGAGGACCCGGCTGGGAAGGCTTCAAAGGTCAAACAAGGGAGAATTCTATGTGACCCTGGAGGTAACAGGGAGCCACGGAAATCACCTAACCTAGTCAGACCTACGATTTGGAAAGCCCACCTTGGCAGCTGACAGGAGGAGCCTGTTTCAGAGTGGGGAGAAATGTGAATCACAAAAATTATTCAGACAGAGAAGGGTAATGAGGACCTGAAAGAGAGTTTGGGGCTGCGTATGTGGAGAGAGAAGGGGACGTATACAAGGGGCAAAGGGAAGGGAATGAGCATTGAGAAAGCACTTACTTTGTGCGGGGTGTATCTCATTTGATGCTCCCAACAACTCTATGAAAGAAGGGCTATTACCATTCCCAGTGTTCAGTCGAGGAAACTGAGGCAAACAAGTTTAATGGCTTGCCCAGGGTCACACACCTGGTAAGTGTCTGAGGCCAAATTTGAACTCACATCTTCCTCACTACAGGTCCAGTATTCTAGACAATACCACCAGCTCTCTCCAGTGTCCAACAAAAGATGTTGTGAAGTTGATAATTCAAAATAAATTAATTAAAATTTTAAAAAAGAGATGTTGTGAAGATAAAGAGCAACAGGGAGGAAGGGAGGAAGGGAGGAAGGAGGGAGGAAGGGAGGAAGGGAGGAAGGGAGGAAGGAGGGAGGAAGGGAGAAAGGAAGGAAGGAAGGAAGCCCTTTCTTTTTTAATCTCTATAAGACTAGCTCACTGGGTAGAGGAAAGGGAAGGCTATATTCAGATATTAAGATTATATAAAAAACAAAAGCTCTCAGTAAAATAAGATTTTAAAAGAAGAAATTAATAGGCCTACCTAGCTACTATTATGTTAAAGACAATAACAGATCTTTTGTTATGGGTCTGATAAATAAATAAATTAAAACTAGCATTTATATGGTGCTTGAAGGTTTGCAAAGTTTTGGGTGTTTTTTTTAACATGTTATCTCATTAGAAAAAGAAATTGCTATGTTGGGAAAATCTGAAGCATATAGCAAACTTCTGGCCCCTGGAAAGTTAATGTGCATCCCCAGAAAGTGTCTGTGAGAAAGAAAAAAAAAAGATACTGTAAGAACACAGAATCAGTTCCAATCAGAGGAATGGCACCACTCCAGGAAGAAAGAGGGAGCGGCCACAGGCCAAATCAACTGCAGGGGGATAGGCTGGGATACCTGCGAGACTAGGCTGGCTCTGGTGTCAGAGAACCCAGCTTCCAATCCCGTTCCTGACACTACCTGCATGTCCTTGGGCAAGTCACTTCAGCTGTCTGGGCCTCAGTTTCCTCATCTCCAACACTGGGAGGACAGGCCTTGGTAGCCTCTGAGGTCCTTTCCAGCTTTAGATCTCAAACAGCAGACAGGGTCGGGCCCACCTTCCCAGGGATCCCCAGCCTGCACAACACATCCTGTCCCTCGTGGGAGACCATCCGACCCCAAAAGGCACCTGGATGTCTGGTTTTCCAACACCGTGGTTACACCTCCACCATAAAGTGGTCCAGCATTCTCCCCAGCACCAAACTTGGTAGAGAAGCCAGTATGCTTAAACAACAAACAAAGACCCAAAGAGAGGCTGAAGATGCTTACCAGATCATTCCCACTGGCGATGGACAGGGAGAGCGGAGAATGACCACTCCACAAGGAATTGGGATTCGCTTTATGAGTTAGCAGGAGACGTATGATGTCCCTTGCATACTGGAGGGAGGAAAAGGCAGAGTCAGACAAGAAGCTATTGCAGATTAAATGAAATCTATTTGCATTTATTTTTGCCATGTTAATTAAAACATAAATTCATTTCCCTCAAATTGCTGAGATGTGAGGAGTGGGTACTTGATGATAACCTTTGGACAAGCATGGCAAAGCGCTCAGCCTTCCCAGGAGAGAGGCAGGAGGGTGCGTGAGCAGCAAAAACCACAGCTTCAAGTTTGTCTGAAGAGGACACAAATGTGCTTGCATTTTGCAATATTATCATCCACCAAAAAAAAAAAGACACGAACAGACAAATGATGACAACAACAAAGGTGAAAAGCAGCCCAGGACCAAGAATTCTGAAAAGCTCTACACCTCAGATGAGTTGTCTAGACTCAGAATGGTTTTCCCCAAAAGCAAATGTAACCCATGAGGGCTGCCATTATGAAAGTATGAGAAATTAAAGTCACATGTTTAGTGAAGGGCTCCCTTGGAACAATGGAAGGATATTGTGCCTGACAGAGAAGGAAAAGGAAAAGAAAATATCAAAAATAACATTCTCAAACAGCTCTTAAACAACTGATCAAGAAATAAGACAATCTTATTTTTCCATTCAACCCTTTTATTTCCCTGAAATTCAGAGGACCATAGACTCATAGATTTAGAGGTATCCTAGAGGACCATCAATTCCAACTTCCCCTCATTTTACAGATGGAGAAACTGAGGCCCAGGAAGGTTAAGCAACTCACCCAGGGAATAAGTGTCTGGAGGCAGGATTTGAACTCTGGTCTATATGACTCCAGGGCAGCAAGGTGGTGCAGTGGATAGAGAGCCAGACCTTTAGTCAAGAAGATGGCTTCAGACACCTACTACCTGTGTGACCCTGGGCAAGTCACTTTACCCTGTCTGCCTCAGTTTCCTCATCTGTAAAATGAGCTGGAGAAGGCAATGGCAAACCGCTCCAGTATCTCTGCCAAGAAAACCCTAAATGGGGTCATGGAGAGTCAGACATGACTAAAACAACTCAAGAACAACTTTATGAATCCAAGCCCAATGCTCTGTCTACTATGCCATGCTGCCTCTCACGGAATCACAGAAGCTCAGAGTGGGAAGAGACCTCAAAGGTCAGCAACAAGATTCTTTGAAAAGGGATCATCCAGTTTGTACATGAAGACCTCAAGTGGCTGGTAACTTCCTCCCAGTGAAGCCCTTTCCACTTTGGGACAGCTCAGGTTAGGAAATTTTTCCTATAATTTTATATAAATTTCCTCATACAATTTTTCCTTTTCTATGCTAAAATCTGCAACTCTATAGCTCCCATCCATCCTAATTAAGACTTAATCAACTTAGAGTTTATAGATTCCACTCTTCCCTTTTTTTTTTCCAACTGGTCCAATTTTGCCTTGCTCATCACATATACTATTTCTCCCATTCTCAAATCTTTGGACATTTGCTGACAGTTGCCCGGCAATCCTATCTGCCAGTTGTTTTAATACGGAAGAATACAGTTCACCTAGGGGGCAGAGGGTGGCCTGAATTTATCAAGGACAGCTTGAGATCCTCTTACTAACTCTCCATTTGTCTAGAGTATCAATTCTCCATTAGCCATTGTGGCTCCATCCTTCCCAGGCTGGAGATCATTCTCTTTGGCTGAGAAATCAGAAGGATGATAAGGATTGAGTAGTTCTGCCTTCTTTCCATCGGAGGTTCCCATCAACCCATCAGCACTAAAAGGCAATTTGCATTCTCCTCTTTTCACCAGTGTGACTTTTAGAAACCACCTTCTGTCATCCTTATCCTCTCTCGTTAGCCTCAGCTCTCTCAGCTTCAGCAACCTCTTCACTGTTCAAAGTCCATGACCCATCCTCGGTTCTCTCTATGTACATTTGTCTTTTTCTTTCATCTAAGTTGGCCACTAAGTTCTCGGAGATCCATGTCAGTCCCTTCTGACAGCGCCTCCTCTTCTTGCTCATCGAAATTCCTTTTGTGTATTCAGAATTTCTTCTTTGAGATCCTCCCATCCCTCTTTGGAAGACCTTCCCATTAGAATTTTAGCCTTGGAATCCTACCTCTTCATTGAACCCTATAAACTCTGTTCTCCCCAAATCCAACATTCATGCCAGATCATGCATATCATGTGCCTCTCCTTCTCTTCTGCCGTGAAATGGTCACTTCCTCCCTAGATTCTCATCATTTTCCAACCCAGAAGCCCATCACCCCCACCCCCATCTGTAAGCATCAGATGAAGACCAGAATTTCCCCTTCCTGGTTCTTCCACTTTTTGAAGGATGAAATCAGGGCTGTGCTGCAGTCAAATTTTCAGTCTGAGCAGTTATACCTCAGATATCAGCCAATGCTACAAAATGGGGCTTGACTGGTTGGTTGATTGGCGTTGGTCGACCCCATCCAGGTCTCCAATGGTCCTACTTCCTCTCCTTCCCCTCTAACTGACACACTTTCTCCCTCCAACCTTCTAAGAGCCTGTGACTTTTCCATCTATCTGCTCTTCCTCACGGGATAGGCCAACTCCCATCTCCTCGCCTTTACAATTGCTACCCCATTCCTAGAATGCTCTGCCTCCTCCCTTCTGCTGACTACATAACTTGGCTTCCTTCAAGACTTCTAATCCTACCTGCTGTAGCCTTTCCTTGACTGCAAAACTCTGCTAGAAATTTCCCCTCTAAGATGACTTTCCACCAACTCTGTGTCTGTATTGTATGGCCTATTTACATGCTGTCACCCCAATTAGAATGTAAGTGCCTTAAGGACAGGGACCATCTGCCTTTTTTTGTGTCCTCAGCCCTTATCACAGTGCCTTGCACATAGAAGACGCTTAATAAATGCTTGTTCATTGATTAATTTATTGTTTTCACAATGAGAGCCCTCATCCTTTTTAGAGGTGTGATTTCCTTTCTCCAACTTAGAGTGGAGGGGTCTAAGATTCAATTCAACATTCAGTTAGTAAGCACCTCCTATATACAAGGCATTGTGCTAGGTGCTGAAGAGAGAAGAATAGAACTGAACTACATTGCTTGCCATCAGTCCCACAGAGTGAAAGGAGAGGGACTTGGGAATTTCTGTTCCATGCCACCCCTCTCTTGCTCATGGAACTCCCACCATGCCCAGCCATGAAGGAACGGCTCAGTCAGGCACGGCTTGTGTCTGAAAAGTTGCCGGCTATGCTGTGGGACAGACTGGCCTCTCACTCATCTCCTGCATGATTATGCTCCTTTAAACGCTTGGGGGTTTTCATTATACTGAATTCTGAATTCTGAGATTACCTAATTCAGTTACCTCTGAAGAATACGCTTTGATTTCCTTAATGTCTTCCCACTGTTTGTCACACTCTCTCTGCCTGGACACACTGGACTATGAACAGCCAACCTGCTCCTAAAATGCCATTTCATCGAAATGGGATAAAAAAATAAAATTCTACCGTACCCCCACCCCCACAGAAGAGAAGGATGAAACAGACTACACAAAGTACTGGCAAATGATCTCCCATTGTTTCTAACCCTCCCTACTTTTTCCATGGTAGATCTGGAGTCAGGAAGACCTGAGTTCAAATCCAGATTCAGACACTTACTAGCTGTGTGACCTTAGGCAAGTCCCTTTACCCATGTCTGCCTTGAGTATCCTCAACCATAAAACAGGGATAACAATACACCTACCTTCCCAGTACTTGTATCAAATGAGATATTTGTAAAGCACTTAACACAATGCCTGGCACATAGTAGAAGCTTAATAAATGTTTCCTTCCTTTTTTCCTCCTCCTTTCCCTTCTCCCTCCCTCCTTCCTTCTGGATCACTTCAAATAGGTCACAACAATATCCTTATGGGAGACAGCACGGTAGAATGGAAATCTTGAGTCAAGAGGACCCAGACCTGAGTCCCTACTCGGCCACTCCGTATCTCCACAACCTTCAACAAGTTACTTCCCCTTCTGGGCCTCAGTTTCCTCATCTGTAAAATGAGGGGACTGAACCAGATGACTTCTAGAGTCCTTTAGAGCTCCAGAGCTAGGATCGCTCCTTGGAATCAAGGGTGCCAGTTTTTTCATTAGGTAAGGGAGTTTTTCCTGTAAGTTCACTGAAGTATTCAGAGAAAAGTCCAAAGCTAGCAAACCATGGTTGGGGCAAGAAAGGGATGTGTTTGCTCCCAGGGGATTTTCGGCATGGCTTGGGAGTGGCTGCTAAGAGCCTTCCAACTCTAAGGTTCTCTAATTCCAAGTCAATTTATGGAGAAAAAGGAAATCTACGCCATGTGGCCACAGGGCTCACGAAGGCTGCCTTTTTACCTTGAAGTTATCCTCTCTCTCACACACAACGTGTAAAGGGGTTCTCCCGCCTTCTTCAGGAATCAACTTAGATGGGGTGTAATATGTCGTTGGTGGTCCAGGCTCATTATTGAGTTTCATGCTTGACATTAAAGTGTCAAACTGCATTTGAATGGAGAAATCAAATTAAGGTTGTGCCTATGGCTACACTCTGCACTCAATCAGTTCTTACCCAAAGCTTTCCTCAACACCCAGTCTCATCTACTCAGAGTCAATTCCTTTAACCCTGTTTATGCTCAGTAGTAACTAAATGCCTATGGAATGCTAACTGGAGGTCAAATGACTTAGGGATGCTGTTCCACCACCAAGTTTCACAGATCCCTCATGCTGCTTCCATAGCCTGTGTGTTTTACACCCTGGCTCCCACCTGTCTTTCCAGCTCTATGTCCAGTCAAGTTGACCTTAAAACTTGAACTCTGAGAAGACACTTGGCCATCACCACCCCCTCACTTTCCCCTCCCCAAACACACACCTTCCCCCACCCCACCAACTCCCTACACACACACACACACACACACACACACACACAGACTATGGCCTTGATATATAGCAGCCTTGTTTATAAAGGTCAAAGAACAGAAGCAAATCAATGAGTTATTTGAACTTCCAACAAATACACTAATTATCGATTTACCTAACAGGGAATGCAAGGCTACAGAGCATTATTAATGAGTAATAAATTGTGTTTTGATTTCATAAATAGCTGCGGGGAGGAGACTCAAGCTTGGCCTCCACAGAGCAACATGAAATCATAGGATCTAGCTCTGGAGCTGGAAGGGACCTCAGAGGCCATCTACTCTAACCTCCTCATTGTACAAAGAGGGAAACTGAGGCCCATGGAGATAGGATCATAGGATCACTTCATAAGCTCATAGCTCTTGGGAGCTGGAAGGGACCTCAGGGCCATCTACTCCAACCCCTCATTTTACAGAAAGGGAAACTGAGGCCCACGGAGATAGGATCATGGGATCACTTCAAAAGCTCATAGCTCTTGGGAGCTAGAAGGGACCTCAGAGATCATCTACTCCAACCTCCTCATTGTACAAAGAGGGAAACTGAGGCCCATGGAGATAGGATCATGGTATCACTTCATAAGCTCATAGCTCTTGGGAGCTGGAAGGGACCTTAGAGATCATCTACTCCAACCCCCTCATTTTACAGAGAGGGAAACTGAGGCCCACGGAGATAGGATCATGGGATCACTTCATAAGCTCCATAGCTCTCAGAAGCTGGAAGGGACCTCAGGGCCATCTACTCCAACCCCTCATTTTACAGGATGGGTGGGGGGACTGAGGCCCTAAGGAGAGGGTCTAAGTCCAACTCCAATTCTAGAGCTGGAAGGCACTTCAGATGCCCTCTTATTTCACATTTGAGGAAGCTGAAGCTCAGTGAAGTTATCCAAGGTCACCCAAATAGAAAGTGAACCCTGGTCGTCTGAGCCAAGAGCATCTTTCCCCTTTACCACATTGTATCTCTGGTGAAGGCCTGACATAAGCATGAAGGTTTTAAATGGGAAGTTAAAAGGAAGGAAAATGAATGAATTCACTCGTTGTTTATATGAAATACCAGTCCCATTTGTCCCCAGTCACTGCACACACAGGGAAATAAGATCTGCCCGCTAATTTAGGCGCTCAATACTACTGGATCAGGGAAGCTGGCAAGGGGAATCATCCAGACGGGCTTGCTACCACGGTGAAATTCACTAAATAGCATAATTGCTCAACTCTGGCTCATTTTGCTTGTCTAGACATCGGCCAATGGGGTTTTCTCACTAAGTACATTTAATTTTATAATCATTCCACTGCATCAGTGGTGTTTATGGTATAAGATACTTTGTTTAGAATTTTTGTATGGAAAAACTGATATTACTGTCTGAAAGATCCCAAGATAACAGTTGAAAATGGAGAATTTTAATCAATCCTACAACTCTTACAATCATAGCTCTAGAGCTAGAAGGAACCTCATCTAGTTGAACCCCCTCATTTTACAGATGAGGAAACTGAGGCCCAGAGAGGACAGGTGATCTGCCCATGGTCATAGAGGTGGCAGGCAGCAGAGATCAGAGGCAGGATATGAATCCAGTCCCTCTAACCGGTCAGCCCATAATCCTACTGTACCACAATGCCTAGTTATGTGATAGAGGACAATTCACTGGAACAATCTTTTTCACTGAGTAGACTGGCCTTTTTTTAAAAACATTGTTCATCACAATTTATAATCTGTCAAATCCTCAGGGAGCTGGAAACCAAAAGTGGAGTTCAAAAGCTTTTTAACTACGAGGTATGCTTAGGAAATAAGTAACGTAGAAAATTCACAATATACTCCAGAAATATCCACCCCAAATTTTATCAATGGCTAATAAAATTACTTATATAAATGTGATTTATTTTTCAAAATTGCTCAGCAGAGCCTTCCTTCTAAAGGTTAAAGAATATTTAAAGGTTCACTCTTAAAAGTTTGGCAGCTGGTGAGATCCATATGCAAAAGTATCCTGAGGTACTTTTAATGAATGAAATTAATCTTCCTGACTCCTGAATAAATGTTAAGACCATCCCCACAAAAATTCAACTTAAATATGAAGCATGTAGAATGCTAAGCTGGAGGATCTTTTTTTCACTTAACATTAAGGATAACTGATATCCATGATCTTAGTTAAGTAAGATTTCATGTGATCAGGTACCTTTGAATAGAATTAGGATCTGGAAGGGAACTTGAAAGCTCATTGATCAAGGCTTCCACCTTCAGACAGATTCTTTAAACCATATGAGGTGGTAGGAAAAACAACATTGGATTTGGAGCTGGGAGACCTAGGTTCACAGCGCCCACCACCACCACCACCAATAACCGGGACACTGGGGGAGTCACTTCATCCTGGTAGGACTCAGTCTCTTCATCTGTCAAATGAAGGGGTTGGATTAGATCTGCACGGTTTATTCCAATGTTAAACCTGTGAGTCTATAGACCCTTGTCAGCAAAGGGATTGTGAAGGGGGAAGGGGAGGGAATTGATGCTAAGTGTAGCTTTTCCCAGCTTGAAAGAGAGACTAAGCAGAAACTTTGGGAGGGGAAAAGAGTACTGAAAATTTGGAGCTTTGTGAGACTTCTCTCAGGGTCGGGGATGAGGACATGCCAGTACCAGTGGCTGGCTGATTGCGAGTGAAGAGGCTACTACCCTAAGAAACACATACCCATAAGTAGTGAGGGCCTTATCTGACCCACTGATCCACTGCAGGAGTAATCTGCCTGGACAGAATTTTGTGTTTCCATGACAGTTTTCACCACTGGGACCTGGTGAGTTTTTCCACTCTCTACTTCTCCCCTGCCTCACTACTGCCTGGTGAACCAACCTTGCTTGCCCTCAAGAGTTTCCTTCTCTCTTTAAATCTTTTTTATTTGCTGTCTATACTTTCTACATGGGTTTTGTCTTCAGATAAAGATAAGCTGATTGTCATTATATTCTTAGCAAATGTTTTCTATAAAGGAGCAGCCCTCACAAATGGGGAAGGACAAATGGGAATTCATAGACTAATAGTCTTGCTAAAACTCTCTGTCTCTGGTCTCTCTGTCTCTCTTACACACACACACACACACACACACACACACACACACACATACACGCGCGTGCGCAGAGGAAAAGTGACATAATCAGATAAACAACAGCAAGGCAAGGGAATTTCCTGACTACTCCCTCAGGTAGAAACATGTTCATATTTGGGGCAATGAAGCAAGTCCACAGTTAGATGAGATGCTTAGAGACATAGATTCCACAATCCTTCTTTCCCCCCACACAACCCCACATCTACAACTGTTCTCAGCAAGTGGGGTGATCAATAGGATACAATGAAATGGAGATGAAGGAATATACTCCAAATCCCTGATCACCAAGTCTGTAGATTCTAACTGGTTCTTCCTCTACCACTGTCTTGGTTCACAGTCTCTTTGCAATTTCCTTTTCTAAGCACAGGTCAGAGACTAGCAATCCTGAAAGCGGACACTTCAAGCCTTGGAATTATTCCCTGAATTTGAGAGTCAGGTACTGGCATCCCAAAGGAAGAAATTTCTTTAATGGTGACCTTCTCAAAGAAAGAAGAGTACACCAAAAGTCTTGATCTGATGCTAAAAGAATAAGCCATGCTATGAGGGACCAGGAGTTCTGGGCTTTGCCAACCCTTCATGATATTGCTATGGGGGGAGAGTGAGAGAGAAAGAGAGAGACATTTCAGTATATAAATATATTAAACTCAAAAGGGTAATGGGGGAAAGGGGACAAGCAAGGAAGAGAGAGATGTCTGAGAGGGAAGGTAGGATAGGCATAAGAATAATCATAAGCAAAACAAAATCAAATGTTGGAGAGAGAAATATGAAGGAAAGATTAAGAGGAAAGGAAAAAGGAGTGAAAACCTGGGATTGGGGTGGAACAAGAAGAAGAGAAGATCTGCAACAGAGAAGAAATAGTCATTTCATTTATAGATCACAAGTAACAGGCAAATTGCTCCCTTTTATCACCTTATTTGTAAAAAGGAGTCAGTGGAAATAGAAAGAGGAAAATGTATAGGATAAAGGGAAATACATATTTAATAATCATAACCCTGAATGTAAATGGGATAAACTCACCCATAAAATGGAAGAAGATTGCAGAATGGATTAGAAAACAAAATCCGTATCGGTTAAAAGAAACACATATGAATTACAATGATTTGCATATTGTTAAAAGAGGAGCTGAAGCAAAACCTATTTTGCTTCAGACAAACACAAAAAAGGAGGAGTAACATTCATTATTTCAGATAAACCTTTGGTAAGTAAAAACATATCAAAAAGAGATAAGCAAGGAAATTACATTATACTTAAAGGCAACACAGATGATGACTCAATAATGCTTTGGTTGAGGTCCAAGACAAATATGAATGGGGAATGTTCTGCAATGTTACAAAGTGTCTTTATCTTCAAGAAGCCTAATGAATGCAATTGGGCGAATGAATTGTTTGTGTTTCCTGTATTTATTCACATGTATTCCTGTGAGTCTTTTGCATTTTATGTATTTTCTTTGATAACTGAAATAAATGCCTCTGAGGGAATTTGGGGAGTCTTTTACCTACTGTGGGAAAACCCCAAACATGCATCATACCTAAGTTTTGTTTTCAATATTTCTCTTGAGTTTTACCCCAGCATAATGGAATAATGAGCCAGATAAGGAAACTGAAATCTCCGGGATCAGGCCTCCAGAACCTGGCCCATGTGAACCCAGAGCTTAGAGAGTCAGAGGACTGGGGTTCAAATCCCGCCTCTGACATTTGCTACCTGTGGGATGCTTGGCAAGCCACTTAAATCATACTGGCCTCAGTTATCTCCTCAGCAAAAATAAGGAGGTGGGATTAAATGATCTCTGAGCTTCCCTCCATTTCTCAATTAATGATCCTAGGAGCTCCTAAGAAGAAATCTGCTGGCCTGACTCTCAATAGCTCTTTCCAGACTAGATCTGCTGTGCCCCCACAGGAGGTAGCTGGTTACTAAGCTGCTGGCACACTCCACAACAGAATCCCTACTATTTTTGACAGCCCTGCTGGTTGGTGGTTTCATCATGAAGGGCACTATAATAAGCCTTCTTGACTTAATGCCCAACTACTGTTAGCAGAAGGTAGGGTGGTTGTTCCCTTTCATATAGGGATAGTGGATGAGAATTTCTCTGACATAATGAACCAGTGCAAGTCAGCCCCCTCTCTGCAACTTACAGATTTAAAGAGGTCGAGTGATTTGCCCGGGCTCACAGAGCCAGAATGAACACGAACCCAGATCTTCTGAGCACCAAGGCTGGTTCTCCAGCCACTTGGCCACCATCCCTCTCTGTTAGCAAAAGGCAAGATGACAAAAAACTTCCCAGGGCAAGCTCGGAGCTGCACAAAGTCCAAGAATAGTATTGATTGGCCAACACTCCCAGGAAGATCCCCAGCTTAGCCAGACAAATTCTCACGTGCCCTCATGAAAATGCCCACTGACCCTGCAGAGACTCTCTAGCCACCAGTATTTCTTGGGGCAGGCCGGCCACCTTGTCCCAAAGTGCAGTGCTTTCCCCCATGCCTACAGTTTACCCAGCTGTCCGTTTCTCAGCAGAGGGGGATTTATTGAAAGCAAAACAAGGGATGTTGGCCCTTCCGGCCCATTCTCTGGGCAAAGTCTGGTAAGGGTAAGATCCGTGGCACCAGAGCTATGGCAAACCCCTCACTACGAAGGGAATCAGGAAAGGTAATAAGGAAGTCACAGAACACACAGAGATGAGGACTGAGGTATCAACACCTAGAACCAGGCAAATGGATCAAGGTTCTGGACAGAGCCCAAGTGGGGAGGGAGGTGCTGCAGGAGGCAAGAGAACGTCAAATGTTAAATGTACAGATTCCTACATGAGGGTCTGATCAGAGACAAGGCGTTGGTTTCCAACTCACAGCTGGGTGAACCTGAGTTCAAATCCCAAGTCTGCCACTTACTGCCCACGGGGCCTTAGACAAGTCAGTTCACCTCTCTACGCCTCATCTGTAGGTGAGGAAGCTGGATTAGATGACCAGTTCTTAGTTCTATGAGCTAAGGCAGCCAAGGTTAGAGGCAAGATTTGAACTCAGGTCCTGTGGTTCCAGAGCAAGGAGTCTTTCCACCATACCCCACGTGATCTGAGGGAGACTCCTAGGTTTGTTTTTCAGGTTTGTGAGTGGGGCAGCATATTTGAAATAGTGACCGCCCGTGTGATCTTGGCAAGTCATTTATCTTTCCTGGGCTTCCTTTTCCTCGTCTGAAAAATCAGCAAAAAGTCGACTAAATGGTTTCCAGACCCCAATCTATGTTCTTAGGATCTTTGACAAGCCACTTCAATTCTTGGGCCTCAGTGTCCTTCTCTGTAAAACAGGGGTGGGAAGGGGGTGGACTTGTTGGCCTCTCAGGTCCCTTCCAGGTCTACATCAGTTATTCTGTGACTCCATGAAACCTCCTTGGGCCTCAGTTTCCTCATCTGTAAAATGGGCAGCCCAGGGGACTAGATGTCCTCTAAGGTCCCTTCCAGTATGACATTTTTGGTTTTCATCTTCTTATCCCCAACACAATACCTGGCCCCCCACCTTAAGCACTTACCAAATGCTGGCCAACCGAATGCCTAATTCTTTCCCTCTCCCATATGGTCAAAGAAAAATACCTTGTGTAACTTGTATCTCTCGCCCTGATCTTCAGCTCTCACATCTGGGTCAGTGATAGCATGCAGCAGTAACTCTGTGATTTTGACGCCGGCCTCCTCAGGCAGGGATACTGCGATGTGAAGAGGAGTGAGCCCTCTCATCTGCAGGAACATAAAGAAAAACAAAACGCCCAGCCACATGTGTCAAAGAGAAGGGGCGACAGGCGCCAGAGGCTGGGGGACACGGCTCACTTCACAGAAACGCAGCAGTTCTCCCACTTACAACAACGAATGTTAATATGGGCTCAAGGGACGTCGCTAGGAGCAGAGACAATGGCCGGTTAAAGCCTCTTCTGTGAGAGATGCCGCACACTCTGTCCAACAGAGCTGGGAATCATGGAGCAAGAACTCCCTCACTCCCACGAGAGCTAAGATATAGTGAGGTGGGGAGTGTGGTAGCCGGAACTGCCTGTAACCAATGAAGGCAAGGATACTGATCTACAAGTTAGGGATGGATCTGCTAATCAACAGAACATCTGCATCTACAATAGCCTCGACATTAATTTCAATGCAGGTGAGGCAGCTTTGACTTGGGTAAGTCAATTCACCCCCTGGGGCCTCACCTTCCTCATTTACAAAATGGGGTAGAAAGTTGAACTAGATGGGTCTTTGAGGTCCCCTCTAGCTTTACATCGATAATCCTAAGTTACTTAACATGTCTGTGTCTCAGTTTCCTCCTCTGTAAAACGGAAGGGTTGAACTAGCCGGCTTGTCGTTCAGTTGTTTCATTCTGACTCTTTGTGACCCCATTTGGGGTCTTTTTGGCAGAGATACTGGAGTGGCTTGCCATTTTCTTCTCCAGGTCATTTTACAGATGAGGAAAGTGAGGCAAGCAGGGTGAAGTGACTTGCCCAGGGTCACACAACTATCAAGTGTCTGAGGCTGGATTTGAACTCACTAAGATGAGTCTTCCTGACTCCAGGCCCATGGCTCTGTCCACTGCACCACCTTTTTATCCTATAATACTACTTTGACAAATCATTTAACCTTTCTGAATTTTATTTCCCTCATCTATAAAACAAAAGGTTCGAGCTAGTTTGTTTCTGGAGCTTTTCCTGTCTCCAGAGCTATGAGTCTAAGATCTTATGGATTTAAATCAACTTCAAATTATTCCTTAAAGACAAAAACATCCTTCTCTTCCCCCTGCCAACCCCCTCATTCAGAGCCTTCTCACTCCGCAAGGAGACAACTGTCACAGCCTCCTGACTCATCTCCTCGCCTTCAGCCTCTCTCCCTAAACAACCAGCCCTACAAAGCATTACTCTTGGCTCATAACTCCCCTATTCAGAATCCTGCAAGATCACTTTGGCACACCCATTGCCTCCTGAACAAAATTCCAATCTCTTTCACCTGACATTCAACGCCCTCTTCACGGGGGCCTCCAACCTACAGAACTCTCATTGTTCATCTGAGTAGCAGAGGAATACATTACAGCCACGCAGGGCTGGCCCTGGAACTGGAAAACTCTGGGTTCAAATCCAACCTCAGCCACCTCCTTGTTGTGGGCCCCAGAGCAAGTCACTTAACCATTATGGTTCTGTTTTCTCATCTAAAATGAGATGTCCCTTTCAGTGTAAATCCAGGACCCTATGATTTACATAAACCCTGTTATCAAGAATGCTCTCAGGTAATTGGAACAGAATGATTCCAAATCACAACAACCAAGCGTGGCCTTGATAAAGCACCTTCCACCACTTCTTTGCAAAGGTGACGGTCCACGGGTGTGGAACACTGCATATAATGGCAGATTTTTTTTACTTGTTAATCTCACTGTCCTCTCTTCCCCTCCTCCCCATCTCATATCACTCAGACGCCTTTCACCAACACCTCCTCCTTCATCTCTGTCTGTCGTGAGAAGATAGCCCTTCTCCTCGCAGCGACCAGCCCAGACACATACAAGTTCCATCACGCCTTCTCCATCAGATTGCCCCCATTACATCCCCACTTGCCCTCTAATCTGGGATCTCTCCCCAGCTACTGGCTCCTTCCCTGATATACTTACAAATACACCCAGGTCTCCCCCATCCTTATAAAGCACTCACTGGGTCCTGCTATGCTCACCCACTACCACCTCTCTCTCCTCTCTTCCTTTGCTAATAAACACCTTGAGAAAGTCATCTACAATCGGTGTCTCCACCTCCTCTCCTCTAACTACCTTCCAAGCCCTTTGCAGTCTGAATTCCAGCCTCGTTACGCAACAGAAACTGTCCTCTCCAAAGTCAGCCATGATCTCTTCACTGCTGACTCTGATGGTTGTTTCTCAGCCCTCGTCTTTCTTGGCCTCTCTGTGGCACCCGCCACTGTTCATCTCTTCTCCTGGGATATTCCTTTCTCTAGAGATGCTGCTATCTCTGTTTTGGTTTTGTCGTTGTTTTCGCTAGGCAATGGGGGGTAAGTGACTTGCCCAGGGTCACCCAGCCAGTGCATGTTATGTGTCTGAGACCAGATTTGAACTCGGGCCCTCCTGACTCCAGGCCCGGTGCTCTGCCCACTGCGCCACATCGCTGCCCCGATGCTGCCAGCTCTTGTTTCTCCTCATGCCTGTCTGACCTCCCCTTGCTCGGAATCCTTTGCTGGATCTTCTTCTGGGTCAGTCGGTCAGTCAACGTGTATCTGTTCAACACTCACTATGTGTCGGGCACTGTGCTAAGTGTCGGGGATCCGACGAACGGCGAACATGCAAATAACTGTGTACGTGCAAGATATATAAAGGAGAGACGCAAGGTGACCTCAGGGGAAAGCCCTATAGGTGCAAGGACTGGGGAAGAGGAGCTGGGAAAGATTCTTGCAGAAGATGGTATTCGTGGAGTCTTGAAGGGAGCCACAAGATGGCGGTGTGGAGGGAGATTATTCCAGGCATGAGGGACCGACATAGAAAATGCACAGCCTGGGAGACAGAGCGTCATGGGGGAGGAGCAGCCCGGAAGCCAGTGATTCTGGATCATAGAGTGTGGAGAACGGCAATAAGGTCTGAGGAGACCGGAAAGGGAGGAAGGGTCCAGGTGGCAAAAGGGTTTGAAAGCCAAAGAGGATTTTGTAATTGATCCTGGCAACAAACAGAGAGCCAATGGAGTTTATTAAGAAGGGCGAGATCACTCTGGCAGCTGAGTGGAAGATGGGCTGGAATGGCGAGAAGACCAACCAGAAGGCTGCGCTATAGTCCAGACGTGGCATACCAGGGGGATGGCTATGTGACTGGAAAGAGAGGAGAGGATGTACACAAAGGGTGTAATGGCAGACACAATATGATTCGGCAACAAACTGGATCTGTGGGGCGAGCGCAAATCAAGAGTCAAGGATGATTAATGTTGCAAGCCTGGATAACGGGGAGGTTGGCGTCTGCCCTCAATGGTGAGATGGACGTTTAGAAGATCGGATGGCTTTGGGGAAAGCGAGTTCTGTTATGGGCATGACGAGTTTGAGATGTCTACGAGACACGCCCAATAGGGAGCTGATGATGTGAGAGGTCAGAAGAGAGGTTAGTGAGATAAATATGAGAATTACTCAATGGTGAGATGGACATTTAGAAGATCGGATGGCTTTGGGGAAAGCGAGTTCTGTTATGGGCATGACGAGTTTGAGATGTCTACGAGACACGCCCAATAGGGAGCTGATGATGTGAGAGGTCAGAAGAGAGGTTAGTGAGATAAATATGAGAATTACTCAATGGTGAGATGGACGTTTAGAAGATCGGATGGCTTTGGGGAAAGTGAGTTCTGTTATGGGCATGACGAGTTTGAGATGTCTACGAGACACGCCCAATAGGGAGCTGATGACGTGAGAGGTCAGAAGAGAGGTTAGAGAGATAAATATGAGAATTACTCAATGGTGAGATGGACGTTTAGAAGATCGGATGGCTTTGGGGAAAGCGAGTTCTGTTATGGGCATGACGAGTTTGAGATGTCTACGAGACACGCCCAATAGGGAGCTGATGACGTGAGAGGTCAGAAGAGAGGTTAGAGAGATAAATATGAGAATTACTCAATGGTGAGATGGACGTTTAGAAGATCGGATGGCTTTGGGGAAAGCGAGTTCTGTTATGGGCATGACGAGTTTGAGATGTCTACGAGACACGCCCAATAGGGAGCTGATGATGTGAGAGGTCAGAAAAGAGGTTAGAGAGATAAATATGAGAATTACCTACATCGAGATGATAATCAGACTCGAAGGAGCTGATAAAAAAAGTGACAGAGAGAGAAGAGAAGAGGGCCCAGCACAGAGCGCTAGGGGTCAACCAAAGGAGACCAAGCAGGGGCGGGTCAGACAAATGGAAAGAGAACCAAGAGAGAGCAGCTTCAATAAAACCCAGACAGAAAAGAGTATCCCAAGAGAGTTTTCAAAGGCTTCAGAGGGTCAAGAAGAATGAGAATTAAGAAAAGGACATTAGATTTAGTGATTAAGATTTGGTGAGGCAGCTAGGTGGTGCAGTGGATAGAGCACCAGTCCTGGAGTCAGGAAGACCTGAGTTCAAATCTGGCCTCAGAGGGAGGGAGGAAGGGAAGTAGGGAGAGAGAGAGAGAGACAGAGAGAGAGAGAGAGAGAGAGAGAGAGAGCTCTCATTGGTAACTTTGAAGAGACTAGTTTTAGGTGAATGATGAGCTTGGAAGCCAGAATAGAGAGGGTTTATACAAGAGTATGAGCAAAAGAAATGGAGGCAATGATTACAGACAGCTTTCTTAAGGAGTTTAGCCAGAGAAGGAAGGGCAGGTACAGGACAACCACTAGATTAGGTGAGGCCTTGTTAAAGATGGGAAGGCATGGGCATGTTTGTGGGAAGCTGCCAGTAGACAGGGAGAGATTAAAGATTAGAGAGTAAGAATGGTAGAGGGGACAATCTGCCAGAGAAGATGGGATGGAACGGGATCACTTGTGCCTGCAGAAGGAGTTTGCCTTGGCAAGGGGAAGGGCCACCTCTTCATGAGAGAGGGGTGAAGAACTAACTAACATACAGGCAAAAACCGAAGGCCGAACACTGTACATCAAACTGGGTCAATACCTTTGATGGGAAGCGGACATCAGTCCTTGCGCCATGCTCCAGGAGGAGCTGAACTCCAGCCACATCTGCAGCTCTAACGGGAAAGAAAAGAACATGCATAGGCACTTGGCAATAGTTGGGGTCTGCCCCTCGCTGCAGCAGTAACTGGATCGTCGACCATCTGAATTTGTGTCTGAAATCAACGTGATAAAAGTCACAGTTAGTCACAATGGCTAAGGGCAAACTGCAAAATTATCTTCCTAAACAATTATCCCTCAAAAAAGGAAAATAACATGGGGGGCTCCCAAACTCATGACCTGCAAGGACACTGAATTCTACCACCACCACCATCCCTCTACCATCCGCTGCTATGAGCCTCACCTGGTCCCATCCCTCCCAACCCACAAAAAAAAAAAAACCACTTCCCTTTTCTGCTTCCCTCAAAAACTGAAGGAATGCTTTGCTTTACTTCTTCTGCCATCAGCCAAATCACAGGAAATGTGATTCCCACCCCTAATACAAGGAGACAAAGACTGGATTTGTGATTTAATTGGTATAAGAAACTCCTGCATGAGGAAATTCCCTCTACTAATGCATGTCAGCACCATCTCTGAAACTTCTACTCTGAGACAATTGCCTAAAGCACTAAGAGATTAAGTGACTTGTCAACAGAAAACAAAAAAAACAAAAGTAGTAATTTAATTTTAAAAATGCAATTCAAAAAACAAGAAGTTGACAGGGTGGGAAAGGTACCAAATGAAAATCAAATTGGATGAAGATCATATTAAAGGAAGCCTCTAATGCAGTTTAAACACACACACACACAGGAAAAGGAACAATTAGGGAAACTGCAAAATTATATCCAAGGACCAAAGATCTCAATGAATTACACAGGGCAAAATAAATGAAGTCAAGCAAAAATCAATCCAGAAGGATAAGCCCAGGAAGTAACAGAACTGAAACGTCAACTAATGAATATACAGAACAAAATAATGTATTTGAAAACAAAGCAAGAAGTACAAATGTTACATTAATTGGGATCCCAGGGGACAGAGGAAAAGAAAAAAAATTAGGCACTGCATCAGATGACTTCATCAGAGAAAATTTTCAGTCAGGCAACACTGTGCCAGTAAAGTAAATGTACAAGAGACCAGAAAGAAGTCCTAACCATATTTCACCTAGGTCCATATAGTCATAAAACCACGGAATCATGACAAAGAAAAATTCTCCAAGCACACTGAAAATTCAAAAAGAAGTCACATTTAAAGAAATTCCAATTAGAGTACCATGGGATTTTTTCAAAAGCAAAGAAAAAAATATAAAATATTGATAAAAATATGTAAGTCTTAAATTTAAAAAAAAGGTCTGTATCCCAAAATGACATAGCTTCCAAACATGAACACATTATTTGTAAAGCAAATAATTTGTTTCTAAGACAAATAATACCAGAAAAAAAATAAACAAAAATTCCCAACTAGAGAGATAACTATGAGCCATATAGGAGAGGAAATCTAAAGCTGACCGAATAATTAACAAAAGTAATAAGGTATGTTAAGTCTGTATCTACTTAGATTGAAATTTAACATGAAGATATATGAGAAAATAATCTTTTTTTATTTGTAATAACATCAATCAGATGAGAGTTTGAGACAAAAATATCTATCAGTTATTAACACAAAAGGATAAACAATACTAAAAAAAATCCATATTAACATTTTAAAAGGCCTTTACACAGGCAAGAAACAATAAAAATTTTTAAAAGAGGAAGGAAGAAAGTAACCAATAATCCCCCCAAAAAAGCTTAACCTATAAGTAGAAGTTAATCAGATCTCAGAAAAATATAATAGAAATATACTGTTTTATTTACTACCTTTAACAGTTGAAATATATATATATGAAAGATTATGACAGTGTTCTTACAAAAACAAATGTATTACACATAACAATAAAATTAAACGGTATGAATTATCCTATTAAAAGAAAAACATTAGAGAATGGATTAATCAATTAAGTCTTTATTGATTTGCTACCTACAAGGCACTGTGGTGGGAATGGGGATATAAAGACAAATGAAACTGCACTTTCTCAACAGGCTTACATTCTATAGAAAGGTACAATATACATGTATAAATAATACATTTATAAATTTTGTACAAATGTTTAAAATAAATACAAGGTAATTTGAAGGGGAAACACTAACAGCTGGAGGGATCAGGAAAGGCTTCATGTAGGGAATGGTTTTTGAGCTGAGCATTGATGGAAAGTAGATATTCTCAGTAGAGGGAGTTCATTCCAGCTATGGGAAATAGCCTGTACAAAGGTACAGGAGATGGGAATATTTTGTGTGGAGAGCAAGAAATAAAACCCTGGAACATAAATGTAGTAACAGAATGTTACTATGCTGCAAAAAATGATGGACATACCAAATATAGAAAAGTTTGAGAAGAAGGCACAATCAGGAAAACAATATATAACCAGGACTACAACATATAAATGGAAATAACAGCAAAACAATAAAAAAAAAAGAATGCTGTAAAGTTATAATGACCAACAGTGGTCCCAAAGAAAAGATAGGAGAAGACATCTCTCCTTACTTTTTTGGCAAGGGGGAGAACTATGGCTGTGGAATGCTGTATGAAATGTCAGTCACTTATGTTAGTTTTGCTAAATAATTTGTTTTTTCTTTTTTATTCCTTGTTTTCAGGGATGACTCTCTGAGAGTGGGAAGAGGAAAGATACATAGAGAAATGTAGGTGACATAAAATCCAAAATATCAATAAAAATTAATTTAAAAAAAGAAAATAGACAAGTGATTTTTTAAAATTTGCTAGTAGATTTCTATTTCTAACTAGCTATTTCTTGTAATAAAGAATCCGAATTTTTTTTAAAGTCTTATCCCACTATTATCAGGGAAAATTAAAAAAAAAAAACTGAAGTTGACAGAGAAGTGCCTGGTCCTAGATGCCCATTATAACAGAGCATAAAATTGGAACTAGTATCTCTTTATTTCATTTCCAAAGCATCAGAAAACACTCTCATTAAGAGAGAAATTCATTCTCCTTCAGATTTAGAGTTGATCAGAGTATTCTTTGGTCTGATTCTGTTTACTTCTTTTTCGTTACTTCAGTAGCCTAAAACTTTTGCTTATCTAAAGAAAGCAGCTATACTTGCACTTCCAGACTTTAAGACCTCTCACAAAGCAGTTGTTTTATTAGTATGTCCAGGCCAGCTGTTAAATTTGTGACTTACCTTAGTGATAATTTCATCTTCAAATGATGGAAGAAGGGACAAGGGAAACTTTTAATCTGGACCTGATCCTGATCCTGATCCTGACCAACAAGAAAGGATTTTTTTCTTGAAGTATAAATGGCAGGATCAGAGGCAACTGACCCCATACAGCCCATAACAGAAAAGGGGAGGAACGCCAAGGATGATCTGACATGTACTTTATTTGAGGAAAGAAGATTTCAAAGACTTCAAAGGAAAATTGACTAGAATCCTGCAGCTATATTTTGCAGGGGAAGTCAATCCCAAAAGGATGGAAATTTCTTGGGAATGAAATTTTGAAGACACAAGCAGAAATTATTCTGGTAAGAAGGAAAAAGAGGAGCTGCCTAAAGAGATTGATGTAAATGCACAGGGAACTCATCAATAAGCTTAGATCTTTAAAAGGAACATAACAGAAGATGAAAACTGGGGAAAGTAACTGAAGATTAATTCATTAGTAAGATCCCATTAGAAATATATCAAGAGTGTATAGCTAAGAATGAGCTGAGGCTGCAGATGAGTTAATGCCAAAAGACAAGGAAAATGTTTGTGTGTGCGAATGTGTGCCTTTATTAAACCATCAATCAATAAACAAGCATTTATTAGATGCTTACTAGATGCCAGACACTGTGTTAAGCATTAGGGATACAAAGAAAAAGCAAAAACAAGGTCTGCCCTCCAGAAACTTACAGTCTAGTGAAGGGGATGACATTTACATCTATAATTGTAAATGAGATATATACAAAGTAGATATAAGTTAGCTTTAAGGTGGAAGGCATTAAGAGCTGGGATGGTTAGAAAAGGAAGGTAGCACATGGGCTAAATACTGAAGGAAGCCAAGCATTCTAAGAAGTTGAGGTGAGGAGGGAGAGAATTCCAGACATGGGGAACAGCCAAAAGGCACGTAAATGGGAGCGACAGTGTCCCATGTGAGGTACAGCAAGTAATTCAGTATGCCTGGCCCATAGAGGAGCACCATTGGTAGAGCTACTCCAACCGTCAGGGAAAGCAGTTTGGAACTACACCCCCAAAGCTATTAAACTGTGTGCCTCTTTAGATCCAGTGATACTATTACTGGGTCTATGTCCTAAAGAGTTCAAAGAGGAAAAGGACCTATTTGTACAAAAACATTTATAGTGAAGAACTGGAAACTGAGGGGATGCCCATCAACTGAAGAATGGCTGAACAAGTTATGGTGTATGGCTGTGAAGGAATACTACAGGGCTGTAAGAAATGATGACGGTCAGGATGTCAGAGAAACTTTGAAAGATTTGTGTGAACTGATGCAAAGTGTGAGTCTAACCAGCAGAGCAATTTATACAGTAATAGCAATATTGTTTTTTTAAAAATCAACTTTGAAAGACTTAGTTACTAAGATCAACACAATGACCAACCACAATTCCAAAGAACTCTTGAAAAAACATGCTATCCACCTTCAGGCAGAAAACTGATAGATGCAAAGTGCAGACTGAACCATTTTTCCCTTTCTTTTTTTTTTTTTAACATAACTAATATGGAAATTTGTTTTCCTTGACTATACGTATTTGTAATAGGTTTTGTTTTCCTTGCTTCTCAACGACTCAGGGAAGATGAGAAGGATGAAAGAGAATTTAGAACCAAAAATAAAATAAAATAGGATTTTTAAAAATGTAAGCTTATTTTCCTTTTCTTTTCTCATGTGAGGAGATTAATCTTTGAAGTGGGAAAGCGGGAATAAAAATGGCTAGCAGCAACCAGACACACAAGATAAGTGAAAAGATAATCAGTCAACTTCTAATTACCATCAATGCAGTCAAAGCACCAGACCTAGACAAACGACATCTTTCAATGCTGAAAGAACTTACAGATCTGAGTGCTGACCCAGTGGTCAGTGATCTTTGAAAGCGCTTAGAGAACAAGAAAGGACAAATGTTCTCATAATTTTTT